TACACACACACACACACACACACACACACACACACACACACACACACACCACCTGGGTTCCAGAAATGGGGGTGATTTGGGCTATAAGGGCTAATGCAAACACTGCGAACCTGGATTTGAACCCAGGCTGGGCCTTGTGGTGCAAAAAAAGCCAATAGAAATAAACAACCATTCACACTCTCACCCACACCTAAGGACAATTTAGAGCAGGGGTGTCAAACTCCTGTCCTCGAGGGCCGCTATCCTGCATGTTTTAGAGGTTTTCTTGCTCCAACACACCAGATTTTGATCGCTGGGTAATTAACAGGCTTCTGCCCAATTTGAAGAGTTAATTCAATCACTGAATCAGGTGTGTTGGAGCTGGAAAACCTCTAAAACATGCAGGATAGCGGCCCTCGAGGACTGGAGTTTGACACCCCTGATTTAGAGTCTTGCCAATTAGTTTAACACGCAGGTTTTTTGGTTTGTGGGAGGAAACCGGAGTACCTCGAAAGAGTCCACACATGGACGGAGAGTGTGCAAACTCTACCCAGAAAGGATTTGATCCAGCAACCTTCTTGCTGAGAGGTAATCTGTGTAAATGTTTAGTAAATAGGAAATACTTTCTTTTATGGTACCCTTATTACAATGTAATTACAAGGTAATAAAATGTAATTAAATGTAATCAGTACCTTATTACATGTAATTACTTGGTAATTAGGGTACAATTTTACTATGTAATTAATTGTCTGCAGTAATGTAGCACTAACCTGGTAATGTATTACAATTCACAATGTAACACCTAAATAAGTGGTAGGTAATTTGGACAGTTTTAAAGTTATATTTTATTGCAATTAACCAGTAACCCCAAAATTTAGTTGCATTCTTTTAGTTATAAATATAGTGTTGAGTTACTATTGAATAGTAATTTGATTGTAGTTACCCAAAAAAGGTAGTTTTACTAACAGTAGTTTTTTCTTTTGCATCGTAATTACCACGTAACTACATGGTAATAAGGTAGTAATTACTATTTAATTACTTTTATTACCATGTAATTACATGTAATAAGGGTACTGTAAAAGAAAGTGTTACCAGTCATAGGTCTATGTGACGTGTGCTGTAATAAGAAGACTGCAGAGTCGGGCAAAATAATTGAATCAATACTTAATAAGTATAATACTTAATACTTAATAAGCGTGCCATTTATTCTGTAAAAGTTGAAAAGTTCTGAGTTCTTGTTCAATCAGATCCTTTCAATTCAATTCAATTCAATTCAAAAATACTTTATTGATCCCAGAGGGAAATTTGTTTTTTACATATTTGTTTTTAACTTTGCCACATTCTCGGGTTCAAAACAATTTACTCAAATATAAAAACTATCCAATCAGATATATTGTGCCCTTGCTTTCAACTCTGGAAACTTATTTTGACCCATCAGAAACAATATATCTTACATGATGTGTTTATTTAAAGTGCCTGTGACATGCTTATCCTTCAGATACAAAAAGTCAAAGAAAACTTTGTTCTATTTAAGAAACTTGGCATACGACACATTAATTCACACGTTTGGACACATAACTGACCTATTTTCTTTTGAACTTGGCTCGGCAAAAGGGGAACAAGAAGTGACATCAAAGGAGGACTCCTTTAAGAAAAAGAACTCACTGCTCTTTGTTTATTGAAACATTATGATTTGAACTCTGACTCTTTTTTTTTCTGTCTGATAGTGACTCAAAATAATCTAAAGCATCAGATTCCTCTCCACAGTCTGGGCTGTTGAGCGTTTTAGCTTAGCTCTGTTTTCATGCAGACATTCCCCTTTGACATCACTTCCTGTTACTTCACATGCAAATATCTCAAAAACTTCATCTCAGCAGCATGAAAATTTTTTTATATGTTCTCAGTGTTATATTTCCAAAAATACTCTTGTATTATTACAAAAATGTTGATGTCACAGGAACTTCAAGCCAAAAGAAAAAAAATATGTCACATTTCAGCACATTTAGAGTAGTTGTCTTTTAATATGTTTCTTGTTTTGATAATCAAAGGACAAAAGACAATTTATTATCAAAGGTTTTTGTGCAGTTCTGCACTGTTCAACATTATTGTTCTGTAGAAGATTTGGTAGGCAAAAAAAACAGGAAATCTCCCTTTAATGGTTCAAACTGCACATAAAGTCTAGTTCTAAATGTAACATGGAATGGTGTCTATTGCATTCAACAAATGATGGTTCATAATCACATAAATTCTTGGCTCAATCAAAATAAAACCTAGAAATCACACGCCGCTGTTCAAATTTTCAGCTTGCGTCACTACAGAGTTTCTGACCTTTGACCTGTTGCAGAGAGCATTTTACTCATCAACCAAACTGGGTAAAATGCAGCTACAGCTGAAGTTTGTGCTGCTTGTAAGGAAGAGAGTAATAGGATTCACTCAGCTGCCGATTTGATACCCAAACGTCCTGCACAGGACGCCAAGACAAACTGGGCAGAAGACCGACGAGTTGATGGTTGAAGAGCTACCAGATTATTGTTGTGATGGTCAAATGAGCCGCAATAATAATTTCATGATTGCGTGTAAACACTGTAAACAAATGTCAGCTGATAGTGTGAAAAGGCTTTGCTTGGAAGAGCCCACGCTGAAGAATGAAAGCAGCTTCTCCTCTTGCGACATTGCTCTGGCCAAAGAACAGCTGTTGCTG